AGCGACGCAAGCACAAACGCAAACACAAGAAGTCTTATTTCATAGTGAAAACGGCCTTGACGCAGGCATAAACACAAGCGCAAGCACAAGCACAAGGTTCAAAATTTGTCCTTTTTCTTGTTCTAGAGCTTATGCTTGGGTTTGCGCAGCAACGGGTGAAAACGAAATACCGCTCAGTCATAACACGAGCACAAGGATATATACCACAGGTCGTTGTGTTTGACCAATGAAAACGCTGGATCCAGATTACCTCCGCCTAAACAGTTTTCTAAAATGCCGGAGGGTTCGGATAATTTTGCTTGTGCTTGTGTTTGCGTTGAATTTCGTTTTCACTTGGATCATCCCCATTGCTTGCGCTTGTGCTTGCGCCTGTGCTTTGCGTCGCTAGTGAAAACCAGGCTTTATATTACTGCCGAGTGAGCTAGAGACACTCATGCCAGAAACGATTTTTTAACACAAACTGAAACAGCTTTTACTAAACCAATTTTAACCCTAGTGAGTACATGTATTATTAATCTTAGTTCTAGTTTCAGTAAAGCTTAGTCGCAGTCTTAATTTTTTAGCTTTTATTACTGTATTTAAGGACTTTATGTTTTCTAGACGACCATTCTGAAAACCACCACTAGGTGATTGGAGGCCTCCTGTTAAAATATTAATTTATCATTATTATTATAATGGAAACTCTCTTATGGTGTTGGTTATTTTCTCTGCTAACGAAATTCAAGTTCAAGCTAAAGTTCCTTTTATTTCCACACAGTAACATAAAGATTTGTCAACGAAAACCCACCAGGTTGAAAAGAGTTCTCACACCTGATCTAATATGAAACAGAAACAGGAAATTATCAAGGTATCTCTTGACAGAAAAGATATTTTAAATTTAATTAGCGAACATACATTAGTGGGAAACAAGAGCAGTTAGATCAACTAAAGTAAATGAATAAATCGTGAAATGTAAGTAAGTAAAATAATGGAATTGCATAGGACAAATATTTTATAAATAAGCAGCAAATCACTCCTAGGCATGCTTAGGCTTCAGATGTAGGATGATGTGATAACCTTGGTCCTTTCTCCTGTTGTATTCTTTATGGTCGTTCCTGATCGTGTCAAAGTACCTTCACTCGCTGATTCCAAGTTTATGCAGGCGATAACTTCTCTGTAAGGTGTGCTAGGTTGTGTCATACATGGTGCGTACATTAATTTCAGAAACATATTTTGGTTTTGTCTTGTTGCTATTAAAAGGAGTTCCATCTTCCGCGGCCATTCACCCATCTCATTTAAGTTAACTGGCAGTAGAGCATGGTTGAAGTTGATTTCTCTGTTGCTGTTTCCTTAACAGAGATTTAACTTTAACATGAAAACAAATGCTAGCACAAGTTTGCGCTAAAAAGGTAACAAATTTAACATGTAAAAGAATCTAAAAACACCAGTTCAAACAAACCAAGCCCCATTTCAGCACACTGTAGATGCCTTTCGCGATCTTAGAAATGCTCCTTTCTTATTTACGCATCTTTAAACCTCACAGGAGGTTTTCTTTAGTCCCTGTCAACTCCATATCTTCAGCCTCGCATTTTCCGAGACGTTAATTTCTGATTATCTTAGTATGATATACATATAAGATGGGATTCTAATTAGGAGAGTTTAAGTTTATGGCGACAGTAGTCTGTCGTATATGCATCCAAAAACCAGCGAGGCTCTACATTTAAAGTTACTTCTCGCCAAAAGGTTAAAACTCCGTTTCAAGATGGCGGAATGTAACTAACACATGGCAGTTTTACATCATACTCCTTTTGCCCCGTCAACGAAATTGGATTCTCATAGAGAGAGATGAAGTTTTAGATGTCAGTTATATATCTTGACATTGACACAAAAACTACAGAGGTCCTAAAAAAATTTATTACATGCGGCTAAGGTTACTTAGTTTTTCTATGGATGGCGATCACATTACATTAAATGACCAATATTTGACATCATCCTCCTTTTCACCCGACAAAGAAATAGGATTCTTATGTAGAGAGATGAGGTTCCAGAGAACAGTAGAATGGCCTGGTATTCAGACGAAAACTGGCACAGTCCTAGTTTGAAATTTATTAGACCCCAAAGATTGAACTTCCTTTCA